TATCACCGTGCCCACTTAGCACCCAAGCCGTACCCCCAGCCGATGCCCGCCTCGTACGCCACGGCGTCCTCTTCGGCTGGGCCCCCGTTTAACGTCCAGGTGAAAGTGGCCAAACCGGTGCTGGGTTACAACCAGCCACGGCGCAGGGCCGAGACGGCCTACGGACCCCCGTCCCTCCAACTAGGATATGGGGTGAAGCCTCCCCCGCAGTACGCCTGCGAACCGGGGTCCCGTTCCCGCCAACACGAGGCCGAGTCTTGGTATCCGGAGCCTTCTTATGGCCAGCGGCTGGGCGATGGGGATTTCTACGCCGGCCCTGCAGGGCAGGGCAGGTTGGGAACGCCGGTGGGCCAGTTCCAGTCTGGATTGGCGAAAGCTGGGAAGGATGAGTTGACGGCACCCTTGGTTCCTGCCAGCAGTGGGGGGCTGAGGTTTCCCCATCAGGTAACTCTAGCTGCTGGGGATGATGGGGAAGGGGAAGGCAGGGTAGGGGTCTTTGTGGGGAAGGGGCTTCCATCCGGTAATGGAATGCAATCCAGATTCCCAGGAGGGAGGGAATGAATGGAAAGAGAAATTCCGTTTGTGTATGAGAATGAGGCTGAGGACAGCTCCTCCTCAAGTGTTCCCAGAGTCTATGTTTTACGCAGCAAGTAAAAGTCGTTCTTGACTTATTGAGCCCAACATTTCCATTGTTAAGCGAGACGGTTGTTAAATGAGTCTCGCCCCTTCTGTACAACCTCCCTTGCGGACGATTGTTAAGTGAACCTCTGCCGTCGTTAAATTCATCACTCGGTTGTTAAGCGAATCTGACTTCCCCCCCATTGACTCAGCTCGCCGGAAGGTCACAAATGGGGAATCATGTGACCCCCACTGGGACTCTGCAAACCGTCGTAAATACGAGTCCGTTGCCAAGCGTCGGAATGTTGATCACGTGTCCGTGGGGACACCGCAACGGTCGTAAGTGCGAAAAACGGTCATAAGCCATCGTAACTCCGAACGGTCACTAAACGAATGGTTGTAAGTCCACCTGTACAGATAGCCTGGTGGCTTAAATTCCCAAGGAATTTGTTGGCGGAGAAGCGGATTGCACTCGGCCCATGCTCAGGAGCCTTGCCCGCATTCCCAATTTTCTATTTTCACGTTCAACTCCGGGGAGCGGGGGTAGGGGGCAGTGTTTCACGCTTGTCAGCCGCCCAGCTTAGCGACCGCTGTTCTCCCCGTCTCTCCTCTCTTTCCCGCAGCCTCCCGCCTGCCGCCCGGAAGAAGAACTGGACCGACTGACCAAGAAACTGATGTACGATTTGAACAATCCTCCCACCGCGGAATATTTCGGTGGGTTTCCGAGCCTTAAAATTGAGGTTTTTTTTTTTAAATGTTCTTTTTTTTTAAAAAAAAAATGGAGCATCCATGTGCAAGAGCAGTCTATCTTGAAATGCCGTTGCTGGGCATTTTAAGATGAAACCTGGTCTTTTTCGACTCAAAATTGATTTTGGAGTGGGGGGGGGCATTTGGTCTTCCTCACCGCGGAGGGGAATTTTGGGGACGGTTCTTGTATTTTTTTTTTCCCTCCCCCCCCGTTTTTTTTTTTTAAATGTATTGAGTATCGTAGTTCTCGAACTCTGACCCTTGCAGGCCGCTGCGCTCAGTGCGGGGAGAACGTGGTGGGCGACGGGACGGGCTGCGTGGCCATGGATCAGGTCTTCCACGTCGAGTGCTTCACCTGTGCTACTTGCCGCTGCCGCCTGCGGGGACAGCCGTTCTATGCCATCGACCGCCGGTCGTACTGTGAATCCTGCTACATTGTGAGTTGAGGAGCGGGGGGGGGTTCAAATAAGTCCCCGCATTTCGGCTTCTCTAATTCTGCTTTTACAAACTTAAAGCCCCTTGAAGAGGAGTTGGACTACAACTCCCAGAATTCCCCAGCCAGCCCAGGGGGATTCTGGGAGTGGAAGTCCACCCGTCTTCACACAAGAGGCTAAATTTGAAAAACGTTGCTCTAATCCAGGGGTCTCCAACCTTGGCAACTTTAAGCCTGGAGGACTTCAACTCCCAGAATTCCCAGCCAGCAAAGCTGGCTGGGGAATTCTGGGAGTTGAAGTCTTCCAGGCTTAAAGTTCTCATTCCATCTAATCTCTGGGAGCTGGGCGCCCCTGGTGGCGTAATCTGAAAACGCAGCTTCCTGTTAACCGGAACGGCCCCGTCCCCTCTTGTCTCGTAAAGCAGGGGGATTTAGACGACTCGAGCAAGCGAGCCAAGCCACTTATATATTATATAATAATAATATATATATATATATTTTTTAAAAAATCTGATTTCTCTGACTTTCTCCGGCCAGGTGACCCTGGAGAAATGTTCCATGTGCTCCAAACCCATCATGGACCGGATCCTGCGGGCCATGGGCAAAGCTTACCACCCCCAGTGCTTCACCTGTGTGGTTTGCCACCGTTGCCTCGACGGGATCGCCTTCACCGTGGACGCCACCAGCCAGATCCACTGCATCGAAGATTTCCACCGGTGAGATTCGGGGAAAGGGTATTCGGTGGAGGTATTCAGCCGGTTCGGGCGAAATGGTAGCGGCGACTACGGATGAGCCCGTCCGTCCGCCTTGGCGTAATACCGTCCTAATTAGGCACGTTTTCGGTGGTCTCTCAGGATCCCAAAAGAGATGCTTGGCTCCCAAGGCCGTACTACGACTCCCGTCCGCCGTGCTGCAGTTGTACGGAGGCCGTACTACAAGTCCCACCCTCCCCAGCCGGCAAAAGCAGGACAGCGGGAGATCCCGAAATCTTAGGAAAAGGGCAGGGCCGACATCATATCTCTTCCTGATTCCTGCCCTGCCCCTCCCTCTGGAAATTTGCCCTCTGATGTTCTGTGGGTGCCGTACTATAAGTCCCATCCTCCCCAGCCAGCAAAGGCAGGAGAAGCAGGGATCCGGAAGCCCCAAAATCTCAGAAAGAGGGCGGGGCCGACATCCTGTCTCTTCCTGATTCCTGTTCTCTCCCCCCCCAAGGAAATTTGCCCCCCGATGTTCCGTGTGTGGGGAGGCCATCATGCCCGAACCGGGTCAGGAGGAGACGGTGAGGATCGTGGCCCTGGACCGCAGCTTTCACATCGGCTGCTACAAGTGCGAGGTGAGCGATGGCGGGGGGGGGGCTGCTGTCAGTTCCGAAAAGAGACACCCCCAGTGTGGGCACCCCAGGTGGACGACGGGTGGAGTGGGACTGGTGGGGGGGTGCGAATGCTGGAGGTTGTTAAGGAAAGTTTGGGCAGGCGCTTGTGCGGGATGGTAAGAGGGTCTCCGGCTGAAGCAGAGGGTTGGACTAGAAGACCTCCGAGGTCCCTTCAATCCCTATGATTCTATGATCTCTCTGTCTGTCTGTCTACCTATCATCTATATCTCTTTCTATCTATCATCTATCTACCTTTATATATCTGTTTATTCTACCTATCTAGATCTATATCTAATCTCTCTCTCCCTCTCTCTCTCTCTCCTGGTATCTATCCCCCCTCTCTTTATCTTTATATATTTGTATCTGTATCTGTATATCTATATCTATATATCTAATCTATCTATATCTATATCTATATCTATATATATCTAATCTCTCTCTCTCTCTCCCAGTATCTACCCTCCTCTCTCTCTCTTTATCTCTCTATATCTATATCCATATCCATATCCATATCCATATCTATATATCTATATATCTATATATCTATATTTATGTCTATATCTATATCTATATCTATATCTATATCTATATCTATATATCTAATCTCTCTCTCTCTCCCAGTATCTACCCTCTTCTCTCTCTCTTTATCTTTATCTTTATCTAGATCTATTTATATCTATATGTCTATATCTATATCTATATATCTAATCTTTCTCTCTGTCTATCTCTCTGTCTCTCCTGGTTATCTATCTATCTATCTATCTATCTATCTATCTATCTATCTATCTATCTATCTATCTATCTATCTATCTATCTATCTCTATCTACCAACCTACCTACCTACCTACCTACCTATCTATATCTATCTATATCTATCTATATCTATCTGTCTGTCTGTCTATCTATCTATCTATCTATCTATCTATCTATCTATCTATCTATCTATCTATCTACCTACCTACCTACCTCTCTCTCTCTCCCAGTATCTATCAATCAAACCCCCACTCTGTCTCGTGGTATCTAACCCCACCCCTCTCACCTATCTACTGTTATCTATCTACCTCTCTCTCTTCCCCCCCTCCTCCTTCCCTCTCCCTCCCTCCATCTATCATTATCTTGGTCACTCTGTCTGTCTATGCACCTAACCATTTCCATTCTCTCTATTTCTCTCAAATATTATATCTGTCATCTATCTCTGTCCGTCTATCTATCTATCTATCCCTCCATTATCATCTGTGTATCTATCTATGTCCCACATCTGTCTGTCCATCTCTCCATCCATCTCTCCAGCTGTCTCTCTCCATCTCTCTCTCTCTCTATCATCTGTAGTTATCATCTATACCCATCCACCCATCCACTCATCCACCTATCTATCTATCTATCTATCTATCTATCTATCTATCTATCTATCTATCTATCTTCAAGACTGGACAGCCATTTGTCTGGGGTGGACTAGAAGACCTCTGAGGTCCCTTCCTGCCCTAGGATTCTATGACTTCAAGAGGGAGGGAGGGGCCCATGCTGGCCTCCTTGGGAGCAGCCCTAATGGTCGCAACCTGTTTTCCCTTTCCTCTCCCGCCCCGTTCTCCAGGAGTGTGGTCTCCTCCTGTCTTCCGAAGGGGAGGGCCGCGGCTGCTACCCCCTCGACGGCCATATTCTCTGCAAGAACTGCAGCGCGAGGCGGATCCAAGACCTCTCCTCCGATATCACGACCGACTGCTGATGGGGGGGGTGGAGGTCCCCAACCGGGGTGGGGGGGGGCTTCATGGGGCTGCTTGACTTTGCACACCCCCTTTTTTTCTGGGTGCAAAGAGCTGTTCGCTGTATTGCAGTGTTGGTTAAAATGGCGCCTCGAAGAGGGGTGGACTTCAACTCCCAGAATTCCCCAGCCAGCTTTGCTGGCTGGGGAATTCTGGGAGTTGAAGTCCACCCCTCTTCGAGGCGCCATGTTTAATCAACACTGCTCTAAATTGCTTATTTTTCTGTCATTTCATCAGCTTCCCAACTTGCGGGAGGGCATAGAAAGCCCCTCAGCTCTGCAAGGACCCCCCAAATAGATTTCCGTCCATCATTCAGCCTTGCCTCAGTTGCAACCGACTACAAATCCCATCATCCCGACCCAGCAGAGCTGCTGTTCTGTGTTTCAAGGGTGGAACTTCCTCGGTCCCCGAATGTATTTGAATCGATTCCCGCACCCATACGCCTTGAAAACCTCCCCTAACCCATAAGCTGGTCTTATCTGGATAATTTGGGGCTGGGGGCTATTTCTTCTCTATTCCCCTCCCCCCTTTTCTCCTATGTGAGCATAAAAACTTCCCTGTTGAACTTCCGCCTGTCTCCTGTTACGGTGCAAAAGTTTTTTTTTTTTTTTTTTTAAAAAGTTATGTTTTTTTTTTTATTTTTTTCCCAAAATAGACTTCGGTGTCCGAGTTTCTTCTTTTTCCAGCCTGCCTTATTTTTATTATTATTTTTAAATAAATAATAATATTGGGCTGCGGGTGTTATTTTGAAATTTGAATTAAAAGAGGTGCCCCTTTTTCGGTCTGCGTTTGCTTCTTGGATTGGGGGGGTCTCATTTATGGGGCGCAGAGTTAATATTTGGGGGGATTAGACGTGATTGTGTTTGTGGTCAGTGTTTTTCACTTTAAAGATTTAGGCCTGGCCTAAATCTTCTCCCCTTTTTAAATGTAAATTTTAATTTGTTTTTAAATTATGGGGTATTTTAAATTCAGCCAAATTATTTAATTCGTTTTTAATTTCTTTTAAATTTTTGCATTTATGTGTTTTGTCTTGTGGCTGTTCACCGCCCTGAGTCCTTCGGGAGAAGGGCGGTATAGAAATTTAATAAAATAAAATAAAATAAAACGTGTGGACTGCAACTCCCAGAATTCTGGCTGGGGAATTCTGGGAGTTGGAGTCCAGAAGTTTTAAAAGTGACTAAGGTTGAAAAAAACTGGGGACTCTATAGGGAGACCCCTAAAAATTGGCCTCCAACCTTAATCAAATCACCTTTGGCTAATTTTGGAGTAGAACTCCCGTCGTCCCTAACCACGACGCTAATAAAACATTGTGGACTAGAAACTTGGCAGGGAGGAGCAAGACTCTTAATTCTGACACAGGGGCCCACATTTTTATGCTCGGAGACAAAAGCTGTAAAAAATATCAGGAGTCTCCTACCATTTTTTCCTGATTCAGAGATTTTATTAAAAAGCAGAAAATAGAAGTGACCCTTCTTGTTTTAAAGATACGCTAATTTTGGGAGTGGGGGAGGAATTATTAGTCTTTTATTCGGGTGAAATACCGTATTAAATGTTGGGTTGGGGGGAAAAGAGCTGTGTTTGTCATTGCTAACTGGGGGATTCTGGGAGTTGAAGTCCAGCATGCTGCCTAGGGAATTCTGGGTGTCCAAGTCCACAAATGCTGGTTGGGGAATTCTGGGAGTTGAAGTCCAGACATGATGGCTGAGGAATTCTGGGAGTTGAAGTTCAAACCTTCTGTCTGGAGAATTCTGGGTGTTGAGTCCACAAATGCTGGCTGGGAATTCTGGGAGTTGAAGTCCACAAATGCTGGTTGGGGAATTCTGGGAGTTGAAGTCCAAGCATGATGGCTGAGGAATTCTAGGAATTAAAGTCCACAAATGCTGGTTGGGGAATTCTGGGAGTTGAAGTCCACAAATGCTGGTTGGGGAATTCTGGGAGTTGAAGTCCACAAATGCTGATTGGGGAATTCTGTGAGTTGAAGTCCAGACATGATGGCTGAGGAATTCTGGGAATTAAAGTCCACATATGCTGTCTGAGGAATTCTGGGAGTTGAAGTCCGTGAATTCTGGCTGGGGAATCCTGGGAGCTAAAGTCCAGAGATTTTAAAAGTTGCTAAACCTGAGAAGTTTTTCTGATCTTGGCATTAGTGCTGTTCCTCCTCCTCCTGAGTCGGCCTGGGGTGCACTCACGATGCCCGCCCGCCCTGGACGAGCCTCTGCAGCCCCTCTTTGTTAAACTCCATGCAGTGCCAGGACAAGGACTCCGTGGTATCTTGGGCTCCGAGCTGCAGGTACAACTTCTTTGCTCGCTGGTTGCTCTCCATGGTGCTGAATTTCATCCCGGTGCAACCGGCAGCCAGCGCCACCTGCCAAGCCAGAGAAAAAGAGACATCAGTGCCCAATTTTGCAGGTGATTCTGGCTAAACCAGCACCCCACTTTCCAGGGTGCATCCGGGCAATAAGAAAATTGCCCTGCCCCCCCACTCCCCGCCCCCGTTCCCTTGGTAGACTGCCACTGAAGCTGCAGGCTCTGTGATCCTTCTATCTGACCCAACAGGACAGGGCGTCCTCGACTTACGACCAATCCACCAGCAACCAAAGTTCCGATGGGGTGCAGGTAGTCCTCGACTTAATGACCACAACCGAGACCAAAATTGCTGTCGCTAAGCGGGACAGTGGTTCAGTGAGTTTTGCCCCATTTTGTGACCTTCCTTGCCCCCGTTGTTAAGTGAATCTCAGTTGTTAAATTAGCGGCAGGGTTGTTAAGCGAATCTGGCTTTCCCCATTTGGAAGGGGCATTGCGTGAACCCTGGGATGCTGCAACTGTCATAAATATGAGTCAGTTGTCGAACGTCTGAAATTTGGTTGCGTCGGTTGTATGTGTGAAAAACAGTCCAAAAGTCACTTTTTTCAGTGCCATCGTAACTTCAAATGGTCACTGAACAAACTGTTGTAAGTCGAGGTCTATCTGTATCTGTCTTTCCTGAGAAAGGGACAATGTTTCCTTATTTGCGGAAGTCCTGAAGAGATAAGACACTAGTCCTCAATGCCATCATAACTCAAATCCTGAGAAGGTTTTACATTCCGAACTTACTTCGGCAAGTTTCGCCAGCAACTGCTTTCCGATTCCTTTATCTGGGAAGAAGAAACCACAAGGAAGTCAGGGCACTGCCCCAAAAGTGCCATGCCAATTACATTTATTTTTTCTAAAAAGTCCAATAATTGCAACCATTTTCTTGGGAAACACTGGATTTTGCCCAGACTGAACCTTCCTCTATTATAGTGTTTTTTCAAACTATCCAACTATAAGATGGATGGACTTCAACTCCCAGAATTCCCCCAGCCGGCATGCTTTAAGGGGGATGGATTGTAACTCCCAGAATTCCCTAGCTGGCATGCTTTAAGGGGGATGGACTTCAATTCCCAGAATTCCCTGGCTGGTATTTCTTAAAGTGGATGGACTTCAACTCCCAGAATTCCCCAGCCGGCATGCTTTAAGGGGATGGATTGTAACTCCCAGAATTCCCTAGCTGGCATGCTTTAAGATGGATGGAGTCCCAGAATTTGCAGAACTCCCAGAATTCCCTAGCTGGTATTTCTTAAGGTGGATGGACTTCAACTCCCAGAATTCCCCAGCTGGCATGCCTTAAAATGGATGGATTATAATTCCCAGAATTTCCCAGCTGGCATGCTTTAAGGGGGATGGAGTCCCAGAATTCCCAGAACTCCCAGAATTCCCCAGCGGGCATGAATCAGTCCAAACTGGCAAGACCATATAAGTGCTATTAATCTGATAGGCTCATCAAAACCGGCTTTTAAAAGTTACCTTGGACTTATTTTGTCTGATTTATTAAATTCATATGCCACCCATCGCAGGATAATAAACCGACTCTGGACGACTTCCACATGATCATTTTTAACCTACCCCGAAATTCCGGCACCACGTATACATTTTCCAAATAGACCATCTTTCCGTGGTTGACGCAGTATCCCTTGTAGTACAAGGCGTAGCCGATCGGGCGCCCTGCATTGGGAGTAAAACTATAGTTGATGAATTTATCGTGTGGCCCATTTATTTCACATTTTGATAAAAAAAAACCACCAGAGTTCAAATACAAAATAAAAAGTTTGGGGGGGTGTAAAATAACACAACTGGATCGCATCACAAGCTAAACCAGGAGTCAGCAACCGGAGCCGAATGTGGCTCTTTGGGCCCTCTGGTGTGGCTCCCTGTCAGGTGATCCCACCACTGGCTGGCCCCGCCCCTCTCCCTCCGCTCCCAGTCACTCCTTGCCTGGCCTGAGAAGGTAGGGTGATGGTGGTGGATGGAGAAGCGGCCAGGGCAGAGACAGATACAGAGAGAGAGGGAGAGAGAGACATAGAGAGAGAGAGAGAGAGAGACATAGAGAGAGAGAGAGAGACAGAGAGAGAGGGAGAGAGGGAGATATAAGAGAGAGAGAAAGAGAGACAAAGAGAGAGAGAAAGAGAGACATAGAGAGAGAGAGAGAGAGACATAGAGAGAGAGGGAGAGGGAGATATAAGAGAGAGAGAGAAAGAGAGAGACATAGAGAGAGAGAGAGAGAGAGAGGGAGAGAGGGAGATATAAGAGAGAGAGAAAGAGAGACATAGAGAGAGAGAGACATAGAGAGATACAGAGAGAGAGAGACATAGAGAGAGAGACATAGAGAGAGAGAGACATATATATATATATATATAGAGAGAGAGACATAGATAGAGACAGAGAGAGAGAGACAGAGAGACAGAGAGATACAGAGAGAGGGAGAGAGGGATATATATATATATATATATATATATAGAGAGAGAGAGAGAGAGAGAGAGAGAGATACATAGAGAGATACAGAGAGAGAGGGAGAGAGAGAGAGACATAGAGAGATACAGAGAGAGGGAGAGAGGGATATATATATATATATATAAAGAGAGAGAGAGAGAGAGAGAGACATAGAAAGATACAGAGAGAGAGAGAGACATAGAGAGAGACAGAGAGAGAGAGAGAGAGAGACAGAGAGATACAGAGAGAGGGAGAGAGGGATATATATATATATATATATATATATATAGAGAGAGAGAGAGAGAGAGAGAGATACATAGAGAGATACAGAGAGAGAGGGAGAGAGAGAGAGAGACATAGATACAGAGAGAGGGAGAGAGGGATATATATATATATATATATATATATATATATACAGAGAGAGAGGGAGAGAGAGAGAGACATAGAAAGATACAGAGAGAGAGAGAGAGAGAGAGAGAGACATAGAGAGATACAGAGAGAGAGGGAGGGAGGGAGGGGAGAGAAAGAGATGTCAAAAGGATTTTGTGGTTCCCGGTGTTTTTTAACAACTGGTTCTCTGCCCTAATGACCGGCTGGGTAGGCGTGGCTAGGGGGATGTCATGTGACCAGTGGAAGTGAGTGACATCGAGTTGGCCACGCCCACTCAGGTTTTGTGGCTCCCGGTGTTTTCTTTTCTGTGGGAAACGGGTCCAAATGGCTCTTTTGGAGTATTTAAGGTTGCTAAACATTCTGCATTCACTTGGGAGTGGGGTTTGTAAACACAGTTAGAGGTGGTCCTCGACTTACGACACGCAATTGAGCCTCCCAATTCTGTTGCTAAACGGAACATTTGTTGAGTAAAGTTTGGCCCCTGTTTTACGACCTTTCTTAACTACGGTTGTTAAATGAAGCAGTGCAGGTGTTAAAGTTGGTCAGATGGTCGTTAAAGTGAATCCGGCTTTGTCAAGGAGGTCGCAAAAGGGGAAAATCACGTGATCCCGGGACACTCCGACTGTCGTAAATACGAGTCCTTTGCTCAAGCGTCTGAATTTTGCTCGTGGGGATGCTGCGACGGTCGTTAAGTGTGGAAAACGGTCATAAGTCGCTTTTTCAGTGCCGTGGTCACTTCGAACGGCCACTAAATGAATGGTTGTAAGTCGAGGACTAACTCACAGGGCAAAAACTCACACAATATTTTAGTTTATGTTACCGTACAATAAATATTAAATGATCAATGTAAGTAATGAAGGTGACATTAAGATTAAAACCTTAAAATGGTTGAATGAATTTTCAGTCTTTGAAGTTTTACATGGGGGGGGGAAATTGGGGTGGGGTGGGGGAACAGCTCTTACCTGGCTTGGAGGGGTTTTCGGGGGGCAGTTCAGCCATGAGGCATTTGAAGAAGGGATCTTGGCCAAAGCCATCTGCTCTCAGATCTGAGACAGGGAGGAAGAGGAGGAGAAGAAGAAGAGATAGAGAAGGAGAGTTAGGAAGAGGAAGAAAGGAGGAGGAGGAGGAAGAAAATTAGGAGGGGGAGAAGAAAGGAGGTGTAAGAAGAAGAGATAGAGGAGGAGAATTTGGAGGAAGAGAAGGACAAGGAAGAAGGGGAGGAGAAAGAACGGAGGAAGAATGAAGGAAGAAAGGAAGGGAGGAGGTAGTAGAAGAAGAGATGGAGAAGGAGAATTAGGAAGAGGAAGAAAGAAGGAGGAGGAGGAAGAATGGAGGAGGAGGAGAAAGGAAGAAAGATGGAGGAGGAGGTATGAAGAAGAGATGCAGAAGGAGAATTTGGAGGAGGAGAAGGACAAGGAAGAAAGGAAAAAGATGAATGGAGGAAGAATGAAGGAAGAAAGGAGGAGGAGGTGGAAGAAGAAGAGATGGAGAATTAGGAAGAGGAAGAAAGGAGGAGGAAGAGAATTAGGAGGGGGAGAAAGGAGAAGGAGAAATGGAGAAGGGGAATTTGGAGGAGGAAAAGGACAAAGAAGAAAGGAGGAGGAAGGAGAATGGAGGAAGAATGAATGAAGGAAGGGAGGGAGGGAGGAGGTAGAAGAAGAAGAGATGGAGAAGGAGAATTAGGAAGAGGAAGAAAGGAGGAGGAAGAGAATTAGGAGGGGGAGAAAGAAGAAGGAGAAATGGAGAAGGAGAATTTGGAGGAGGAAAAGGACAAAGAAGAAAGGAGGAGGAAGGAGAATGGAGGAAGAATGAAGGAAGGAAGGAAGGGAGGGAGGAGGGAGAAGAAGAAGAGATGGAGAAGGAGAATTAGGAAGAGGAAGAGGAAGAAAGGAGGAGGAGGTATGAAGAAGAGATGCAGAAGGAGAATTTGGAGGAGGAGAAGGACAAGGAAGAAAGGAGGAAAAAGAAGAATGGAGGAAGAATGAAGGAGGAAAGGAGGAGGAGGTGGAAGAAGAAGAGATGGAGAATTAGGAAGAGGAAGAAAGGAGGAGGAAGAGAATTAGGAGGGGGAGAAAGGAGAAAGAGAAATGGAGAAGGAGAATTTGGAGGAGGAAAAGGACAAGGAAGAAAGGAGGAGGAAGAAGAATGGAGGAAGAATGAAGGAAGGAAGGAAGGGAGGAGGTAGAAGAAGGAGAGATGGAGAAGGAGAATTAGGAAGAGGAAGAAAGAAGGAGGAGGAGGAAGAATGGAGGAGGGGGAGAAAGAAAGAAAGATGGAGGAAGTGATATGAAGAAGAGATGCAGAAAGAGAATTTGGAGGAGGAGAAGGACAAGGAAGAAAGGAGGAAAAAGACGGAGGAAGAATGAAGGAAGAAAGGAGGAAAAAAGAATGGAGGAAGAATGAGGGAGGAGGTGGAAGAAGAAGAGATGGAGAATTAGGAAGGGGAGAAAGGAGAAGGAGAAATGGAGGAGAATTTGGAGGAGGAAAAGGACAAGGAAGAAAGGAGGAGGAAGAAGAGATGGAGAAAGAGAATTTGGAGGAGGAGAAGGACAGGGAAGAAAGGACGAGGAGGAGGGGTGGAGAAGGAAGAGAAAGAAAGGAGAAGAATGGAAAAAAGATTAAGGAAGGAGAATTAGGAGGAGGAGGAGGAGAAGTGGTGGAGGAGGAGAAGGAAGAAGAAAAAGGGAGAAAGAAAGGAGGAGGGGAAGGAAAAAAGGAGGAAGGGTAGAATTAGGAGGAGGAAGAAGAAAGGAGGAGAGACGGGGAGGAAAAAAACAAACACGTATTCAGAATTCAAACTTGTTTCGCAAAAGGGAAATCCACACCCAAAAATCCGCTCCCGATTTCCCCCACTATGGCCACCCCCGGATTCTTCCGAACCGGCCGGACCCAGCTCTGCCATCCACCAGCCGGGCAGCCGACCGAGGGCTCCGCTCTGCTCTCCACCCACTCACAAAATTCCAGAAAGGTTGCCCACCCCACAATCATCACCCCCACACCTGAAATTCCCCACCCCCCGAAAAAGCTCTCCAAAAATAAATCCTTACCTTCGGCGCTAATCGAGACCTCGTGCAATAAATTATGATATTCCGCAATTTCCTGAGGTTGGAAATAGAGGGGTTGTTATATGAAGACACCCTGGGGGTGAGGGGGGATCGAACCCCCCAAATCCCAACCTTGCCCAGAGTCCCAAATGCAGCAGGGAGGCTTGAAACAATAATCCTCCAATTATGACGGTGCGAAGGTACGACGCTGAAAAAAAAAAGCGACTTGGGAACGTTTTCCGCCCTTAACGACCGTCGCAGCGTTCCCCGCGGTCCCGGGATCAAAAATTCGGCCGCTGGGTCACCGACTCGTATTTACGTCCCGGGGGGGGGGTGTCACGTGATTTTTTCCCCCTTTTGCGACGGTTTTCTTAACAAGCGTGGCCACCAAAGGCCATGAAACGGGAACGCAACTCGCTTAACAACCGTCTTAACTTAAAACAATGTTTATGTTTATAGTGTTTTGAGTTATAAATTTTAAATTACGGGCCAAATTTATTAATTATTTTAAATCTATTTTTAATTGTAATGTTATGTACAAATGTTTTTATTTTGGCTGTTCACCGCCCTGAGTCCGAAAGGAGAAAGGCGGTATAGAAGTTTGAATAATAAATAAATAAATAAATAAATAAATAAATAAATAAATAAATAAATAAATAAATAAGGAGTTAAAGACTCAGGGAGAATTTGAAGCCAACAAATTGTTAGCATATTTTAGTTTTATGTTTGTGAATGCTATACGCTGTGCTTGTTCAGGGAAGTCGAGGGAGGGGGGTGGGGGAGAAGGGGGAGGGGGCAAGGGGGGGTGGGATGGGGGGAGAGGGGAGGGGGGGAGAAAATGTTTGTATCTTTTATAAAACTTTTCAATTAAAAAAAAAGAACCAATGGAAATGCTGCAGCTCAGGTGAGAGCTGTCAGTCGAGTTGTTCGAGAAATTATGCAAGAAGGGAAAAATGATATTTCTCTTTACTTTCTTGTTTTGGTTGGGGGGGGGTCCCTCGGTGTAATTAGCAAAACGGGGTTCTTTGCACAGGTATTTAATCAAATCTTACAGCACCCCAAGATTTCCCTCCCCCCCCACAGGTTGGACATTGGACTGAACCAAATCGAGAGAGAAGGGGCCGCAAATTCTGAATTTATTTTTTCCTCTTTTCTCCGTTTCTGGAAAAGTCTCAGCAAGAGGCCCTCCTGCTCTTTGGAGTTTCTATCTACCTAAACAGATTTAAACAGATTATTAATCTGTTGGAAGGGACCCTGTAGGTCATCTAATCCAACCCCGCACCCAAGGGGGGGGGGGTTTCTGTGGATTTGATCTGGCCCTTTTTGGCCCCTGTCACTAAATCTGGAACAATCCAGGTGCCAGGTGTGAGTTCACCTGCCAGCTTAAGATTCTTTGATCTGCAAAACACAGAGAGAGAGAGAGAGAGAAAGAGGGAGAGAGAGAGAGAGAGAGAGGGAGGGAGAGAGAGGGAGAGAGAGAGGGAGAGAGAGAGGGGGGGAGGGAGGGAGGGAGGGAGAGAGAGAGGGAGAGAGAGAGAAATGCATAGAAGGATGGATGGATGGATGGGGCAGGTAATTAGGTAGGTAGGTAGATACCGTTGATAGACAAACCTAAAGACGGACGGATGGACAGATAAAATAAAATCATAGAGCTGGAAAGGACACATGGAGGTCTTCTAATTGAACCCTGGTGCTCTTATACCGTCCTGGACAAAAGGAAGGAAGGAAGGAAGGAAGGAAGGAAAGAAAGAACGCAAGCACACAAGCAAACAGGCAAGACAGGGAGGAAGGAAGGAAGGAAGGAAGGAAGGAAGGAAGGAAGGAAGGAAGGAAGGAAGGAAGGAAGGAAGGAAGAAAGAAAGAAAGAAAGAAAGAAGGAAAGAAAAAGTAAGTAGAAAGGATTAGAAGGCTCTTTCTCCTTTCTTTCTATTTTTCCTTCCTTCCTCCCTCCCTCCTTCCCTTCCCCTTTTCTCCTTTCCCTTTTTCTCTCCTCCCTTTTCTCCCTTTCCTTTCCTCCCTCCCTCCTTTCTTCCTTTCCTTTTCCTCTTTTCTTCCTTTCCTTCCCTTCCCTTCCCTTTCTCCTTCCCTTCCCTTTTTCTCCTTTCCTTTCCTGTTTTCTCCTTTCTTTTCTTTTCTTTTTTTCTCCTTTCCTTCCCTTTCCTCTTTTCTCCTTTCCTTTCCTTCCCTTTCCTGTTTTCTCCTTTCTTTTCTTTTTTCTCCTTTCCTTTCCCTTTTCTCCTTTCCTTTCCTTCCCTTTCCTGTTTTCTCCTTTCTTTTCTTTTTTCTCCTTTCCTTTCCTTTCCTCTTTTCTCCTTTCTTTTCTTTTTTCCTTTCCTTTCCTTCCCTTTCCTCTTTTCTCCTTTTTCTTTTTTCTCCTTTCCTTTTCTTCCCCTTTTCTCCTTTCCTTTCCTTTCCTTTCCTTTCCTTTCCTTCCCTTTTCTCTTTTCTCCTTTCTTTTCTTTTTTCTCCTTTCCTTTCCTTCCCCTTTTCTCCTTTCCTTTCCTTTTTCTTCCCTTCCCTTCCCTTTCTTTTCCTCCCTCCCTCCTTTCTTCCTTTCCTTCCCTTCCCTTCCCTTCCCTTTCTTCCTGGGACCCAAGGCAAGAGACCCTAACACCATCCCAGACAAACCATGGTCCAATCCTGGCTTGAAACAGGATCCGAAAGTCTGGATTTCGCCCACTCCTCACCTTTATGAAGCTCATGAGAAGCTCACAATCGTCGCTGGTGGCCGGCCGGATGAGACACTCCATCGTTCTGGCCGGGAGCTCCAAAAAGTGGCTCCGGCCAGCAAAGTCCGGTCAGTTTTGTCCTTTCCTGCCCTGCCCAGGGCGGGGAAAAATGCCCAGTGGGTAGTTGCAGAGGGCCAGGTGCCAATCACGTGGGAAAGGGTGCGGCTATCACATTTTCCCTGGCCAGGAAGGTGCCAGTTTATGGATTTCTTTATGGAGATTTTGATCCTGCCTTTTACGACTTTATAAGTCACTCTTTATAAATTGGCACCTCGATATTAAAACGGATTAAAAAGAAGCGAGGAATAGACAGGATAGAGATCAGATCTTCAGGGCAGGGGTGGAAATCCAGCAGGTTCTGACAGGTTCGGGAGAACCGGTAGCGGAAATTTTGAGTAGTTCGGAGAACCGGCAAATGCCACCTCTGGCTGGCCCCAGAGTGGGGTGGGAATGGGGATTTTGCAGTATCCTTCCCTGGAGTGGGGAGGGAATGGAGGTTTTGCAGTAGCCTTCCCCTGGAGTGGGGTGGGAATGAGGATTTTGCAGTATCCTTCCCCTGGAGTAGAGCGGGAATGGAGGTTTTGCAGTAGCCTTCCCCTGGAGTGGGGAGAGAATGGGGATTTTGCAGTATCCTTCCTCTGGAGTGGGGTGGGAATGGAGATTTTGCAGTATCCTTCCCCTGGAGTGGGGAGGGAATGGGGATTTTGCAGTATCCTTCCCCCAGGAGTGGGGTGGGAATGGAGATTTTGCAGTATCCTTCCCCTGGAGTGGGGAGGGAATGGGGATTTTGCAGTATCCTTCCCCCTGGAGTAGAGAGGGAATGGAGGTTTTGCAGTAGCCTTCCCCTGGAGTGGGGTGGGAATGGAGATTTTGCAGTATCCTTCCCCTGGAGTGGGGTGGGAATGGAGATTTTGCAGTATCCTTCCCCTGGAGTGGGGAGGGAATGGGGATTTTGCAGTATCCTTCCCCCTGGAGTGGGGAGGGAATGAAGATTTTGTAGTATCCTTCCCCTGGAGTGGGGAGAGAATCGGGATTTTGCAGTATCCTTGCCCCTGGAGTGGGGTGGGAATGGAGATTTTGCAGTATCCTTAAAGATTTAAAGTGTAAAGATATTAGGATAAAGAATGAATTATTCAAAAATGAAAAGAGAATATATATGATTAAAAATGGAGAAAATAAAATTTGAGGGCGAAAGAAGATACTGTTTATAGAGAAATAAGAATAGAAATATTAAGATTTGATTAAAAAATACAGTTTGGCAGAAACTGTAACCAAGCAAAATATATTTGGATATGACAAATTGTATATGATATGATATGATATGATATGATATGATATGATATGATATGATACGATATGGTCAATACTCTGTTTCATAAAATATGTGGCTATTTTATTTTTATTTTATTTTTTTTGGAGGTTCTTTCTATACATCAGTTCCAATTTTTTAAAATTCATCAGGAAATTCTAGTCTCATCTTGGACAAGAAAGCCAGCTGGGTGATTTGGGGCCAATGACCAGGAGACGGGGAGTTCTAGTCTCGTCTAAGGCACGAAAGCCAGCTGGATGACTTTGGGCTGATCACATTCTCCCAGCCGAGTCCACCTCACAGGGTTGTTGTGTGTGGGTGGGAGGAAAGATAAAGGACTATTCTGAATGTTTGCCTGCTGGGGAATTCTGGGATTTGAAGTCCAGATCTCTTAAAGTCACCAACGGGTGTAAGTAGAAACGCCAGGACTAAACTCACGCAGGACTCCGGGTGCGAATCGTGCCCGGCAAACGAAAATACTTCAGAAGTGGGAATCTGACCTCCTGCAGGTTGCACCCAGCGACCTGAGGGCACCTATCAGAGTTTATCCATGATTTCCCCTTGGCCGAGTTTTTCCCGCCCCACTCATTAACCTTGGTTTATGATCCCTAATGGCCAGAAATCAAATCACCCCACCTCTTCCACCCATTCTTATGACATAAATGTAATTTACGTCTCCTGCCAAGCTATTTCCAAAGAATGAGAAGCAGGATTTGGGCCAAAAGTTTACACATTCGAGAGATCCGGGATCCCTGATTTCCCAACCAGGGATCAGATTACAGGGGACCAGCTTTCGAACTCGGATCAAGGTTCACTCCAACGAAAGGTGCTTGACCCACAAAACAGTTAGCCATTTTGCAATGAGACAAGCTGGGTATGTGGGTGTGTGGGACCCCTTCCCCCAAAAAGGTATCCTTAGTGGGTAGATCCCACCCGAAGAAATATTACAGGGAATCCTCGACTTACAACCGTTCGTTTAGTGACGAAGTTACAAGGGCACAGACAAAAAAAGCGACTTACAATCGGTCTTTAGACTTATGTCTAAACCATCCCTTGCATGGCAGTTTTCCAATATTTGAGGGGCTGCCCCAAAGAAGAAAGGGGGGGGGTCTGCAGAATTAGAATAACAGAGTTCGAAGGGACCTTGGAGGTCATCTAGTCCGACCCCACACAGGACAAGAAGCAACGGATGGAAACGAACCGAAGAGAGAAGCAACCTCGAACGAAGGAGACATTTCCCGACAGGTTAGAACAATTAGTCCGTGGAACTGCTTGCCACCAGAAGTTGTCGGTGTTTCCTCGCTGGAGGTTTTGAAGAAGAGACTGGACAGCCTCTTGTCTGCAATGGCATAGGGCAGGGATGGCGAAGCTTTTCGGCACCATGTGCCCAATCCGGAACGCATGTGCACTTTTGGTGTGCGATGCCCCGGTGGGCCCGGAAGGCCCGTTTTTCGCCCTCCCCAGGCTCCAGAGGCTTTCTAGGCATCTGGGGAGGGCAAAAACAGCCTCCCCACACCCTAGAGGCCCTCCGGAGGCTGGAAATGGCCCATTTCCCAACTTCTGGTGTGCCCGGAAGGCCTGTTTTTCACCCTCCCCAGGCGCCAGAGGCTTTCTAGGCGCCTGGGGAGGGCAAAAACCGCCTCCCCCCACCCTGAAGGCCCTCCGGAGGCTGGAAATGGCCCGTTTCCCAACTTATAGTGTGCCCGGAAGGCCCGTTTTTCACCCTCCCCAGGTCCCAGAGGCTTTCTAGGCGCCTGGGGAGGGCAAAAACAGCCTTCCCCACCCCCACCCCGGAGGCCGAAAAACAGCCCGTTTCCCGACTTCCGCTGGAGCTGAGCTAGGGCAACGCGTGCGTGCTCACAGATATGGCCCCGCGTGCTACCTGCGGCACGCGTGCCATTTGTTCGCCATCCCGGGTTTAAAATCTTCCGCCTTGGCCCGAGGGTTGGACTAGAAGACCTCTAAGGTCTCTTTTTGGTCCTACGATTCTATAATCCGAAGTTGTAGGTCCTCCATCCCTGAGGTCATTTACAAAGAGCCTAGACGACGATTTGGACAATAGGAAGAGCTTTGATCGTACCTCTCGCTAAAAGGACCCCCTTGTGCTCATGTGAGACACAGAGAGGGTACCGATTATTTATGATTACAGGTTTAAATACAGTTTCAGTGTAGGAATTTCCTCCTGGAAACGCCCCTAAATTATTATTTACGTAAAACAAGCGTTTTGGCTCTATAACAATTGTTTTTCTGGATAAGAACATTCCCCTGATAATTTCCTAATTTTGGTCATCATCACATTATCCATCTCAATATGGATCATCTCAGCTCCCTCCCTGCCAATATTTGCTTGTCTTGTGACACGTAACGGGCTTAATCAAATTATGATTGCTGTTAATTCCCTTCTGTTATTCCCCACAAAACCCTTGCATTTCAGAACTGCCCCACATCTGGGGCTCTAGGTCATATGAAGAACAAATATGGCATCTCTCTTCCTCTGCTTTTTACACCCAATAACGCATAATTTAAAACTGTTTTTAATAGGGTTGCTGATTTTAATTTTATTTCATTGCGATTTGTATTGGAATTGGTCATTTTGTAAGCCACCTTGAGTCCCCAGGGAGAAAGGCGGCATATAAATCGCAATAATAAATAAATAAATAAATGAATAAATGAATAAATGAATAAATAAATAAATAAATAAATAAATAAATAAATAAATATTTCCAGGGGTGAAATCCAATTTTTTTTTACTACCGGTTCTGTGGGCATCAAGGGTGAAATCCAGCAGGTTCTGACAGGTTCTGGAGAACCGGTAGCGGAAATTTTGAGTAGTTCAGAGAACCAGCAAATACCACTTCTGGTTGGCCCCCGAGTGGGTAGGAATGGAGATTTTGCAGTATCCTTCCCTTGGAGAGCCCTGGTGGCGCAGCAGACTAAAGCACTGTTATTAACATTCAGCTGCCTGCAATTACTGCAAGTTCAAATCTCACCAGGCTCAAGGTTGACTCAGCCTTCCATCCTTTCTAAGGTAGGTAAATTGAGGACCCGGTTTGTGGGGGCAATAAGCTGACTTTGTATAAAAATATACAAAAGTATGAAGGCTATTGCTTAACGCATTGTAAGCTGCCCTGAGTCTCCGGAGAAGGGCGGCATATAAATCAAATCAAATAAAACAAAAACAAAAACAAAAAAGGGAATGGGGATTCTGCAGAATCCTTCCCCTGGAGTGGGGTGGGAATGGAGATTTTGCAGTAACCTTCCCCTGGAGTGGGGTGGGAATGGAGATTTTGCAGAATCCTTCCCCTGGAGTGAGGAGGGAATGAAGATTTTGCAGTAACCTTCCTCTGGAGTGGGGAGGGAATGGAGATTTTGCAGTATCCTTCCCCTGGAGTGGGGAGAGAATGGGGATTTTGAAGTATCCATCCCCTAAGTGGGGAGGGAATGGAGATTTTGCAGTATCCTTCCCCTGGAGTGGGGAGGGAATGGAGATTTTGCAGTATCCTTCTCCTGGAGTGGGGAGGGAATGGAGATTTTGCAGTATCCTTCCCCTGGAGTGGCGAGGGAATGGAGATTTTGCATTATCTTTCCTCTGGAGTGGGGAGGGAATGGGGATTTTGCAGTATCCTTCCCCTGGAGTGGGGAGGGAATGGAGATTTTGCAGTATCCTTCGCCTGGAGTGGGGAGGGAATGGAGATTTTGCAGTATCCTTCCCCTGGAGTGGGGAGGGAATGGGGATTTTGCATTATCTTTCCTCTGGAGTGGGGAGGGAATGGGGATTTTGCAGTATCCTTCCCCTGGAGTGGGGAGGGAATTGAGATTTTGCAGTATCCTTCCCCTGGAGTGGGGAGGGAATGGAGATTTTGCAGTATCCTTCGCCTGGAGTGGGGAGGGAATGGAGATTTTGCAGTATCCTTCCCCTGGAGTGGGGAGGGAATGGGGATTTTGCATTATCTTTCCTCTGGAGTGGGGAGGGAATGGAGATTTTGCAGTATCCTTCCCCTGGAGTGGGGAGGGAATGGAGATTTTGGAGTATCCTTCCCCTGGAGTGGGGAGGAAATGGAGATTTGCAGTAACTTTCCCCTAGAGTGGGGAGGGTATGGGGATTTTGCAGTATCTTTACCCTGGAGTGGGGAGGGAATGGAGATTTTGCAGTAACCTTCCCTGGAGTGGGGAGGGAATGGGGATTTTGCAGTAACCTTCCCTGGAGTGGGGAGGGAAAGTAGATTTTGCAATATCCTTCCCGTGCCACGCCCACCAAGCCGCGCTCACAGAACTGGTAGTAAAGATTTTGGATTTCCCCACTGGTGGGCGTGGCTTGGCGGGCGTGGTGTGGCTTGGCGGGCGTGGCAGGGGAAGGATACTGCAAAATCCCCATTCCCTCCCCACTCCTGGGCGAAGGATATTGCAAAATCCCCATTCCCTCCCCACTCTGGGGCCAGCCAGAGGTGGTTATTTGCCGGTTCTCTGAACTGCTAAAAAAATTTCCGCTACGGGTTCTGCAGAACCTGTCAGAACCTGCTGGATTTCCACCCTGCATACTTCTCCCTTCCAAGGTCCTTTTCAACTCCCCCCAACTTTTCCTCCTGACATTCCAGAGACAAGCTGGGGCAGAGCTGTGTGCCCTCCTGCCAACCTCGACTTCCCTACCGGTTCAGGCAGCCTCCCCCCTCCCCCTCCCCTCTTAATCAACGGGAAGGAAAGGACCGACGGTGTGCACGCGCGGGCGCGTCCCCGTGAGACTGCCTCTCCACCTTCGCCCCGTTGAAAATGAGCGGACTTCAACTCCCAGGATCCTCCAGCGTGCACTAGGCCAGCGGTGGAATCCTGGGAGTTGGAGTCCATACACCAAGTCCAGGTCTTCAAACTTGGCAGCTTTAAGACTTGGGGACTTCAACTCCCAGGATCCTCCAGCGTGCTTTAGGGCCAGCGGTGGAATCCTGGGAGTTGGAGTCCATACACCAAGTCCAGGTCTTCAAACTTGGCAGCTTTAAGACTTGGGGACTTCAAATCCCAGGATCCTCCAGCGTGCTTTAGGCCAGCGGTGGAATCCTGGGAGTTGGAGTCCATACACCAAGTCCAGGTCTTCAAACTTGGCAGCTTTTAAGACTTGGGGACTTCAAATCCCAGGATCCTCCAGCGTGCTTTAGGCCAGCGGTGGAATCCTGGGAGTTGGAGTCCATACACCAAGTCCAGGTCTTCAAACTTGGCAGCTTTTAAGACTTGGGGACTTCAAATCCCAGGATCCTCCAGCGTGCTTTAGGCCAGCGGTGGAATCCTGGGAGTTGGAGTCCATACACCAAGTCCAGGTCTTCAAACTTGGCAGCTTTAAGACTTGGGGACTTCAACTCCCAGGATCCTCCAGCGTGCTTTAGGGCCAGCGGTGGAATCCTGGGAGTTGGAGTCCATACACCAAGTCCAGGTCTTCAAACTTGGCAGCTTTAAGACTTGGGGACTTCAAATCCCAGGATCCTCCAGCGTGCTTTAGGCCAGCGGTGGAATCCTGGGAGTTGGAGTCCATACACCAAGTCCAGGTCTTCAAACTTGGCAGCTTTTAAGACTTGGGGACTTCAAATCCCAGGATCCTCCAGCGTGCTTTAGGCCAGCGGTGGAATCCTGGGAGTTGGAGTCCATACACCAAGTCCAGGTCTTCAAACTTGGCAGCTTTAAGACTTGGGGACTTCAACTCCCAGGATCCTCCAGCGTGCTTTAGGGCCAGCGGTGGAATCCTGGGAGTTGGAGTCCATACACCAAGTCCAGGTCTTCAAACTTGGCAGCTTTAAGACTTGGGGACTTCAAATCCCAGGATCCTCCAGCGTGCTTTAGGCCAGCGGTGGAATCCTGGGAGTTGGAGTCCATACACCAAGTCCAGGTCTTCAAACTTGGCAGCTTTTAAGACTTGGGGACTTCAAATCCCAGAATTCTCCAGCCAGCTATGCTGGCTGGAGAATTCTGGGAGTTGAAGTCCCCAAGTCTTAAAAGCTGCCAAGTTTGGGGATCCCTAGCTCATTTTCACCCCCCCACCCCATTTCCCCTTCCCTCTATTCTGGGAGCCGCCCCCTCCCGCTCCAGACATTCCCACCCCTCGTCCCGTCGCTCTCGCACGATAGACTGCTCCTGCAGAGGGAGGCTCGCTTTGCAAAACTCTTTCGAAAAGTTCTCAGTTTGCAAAGGTTCTTCTGTTTTGGGTGGGGGGGGTGGGGGGGAGAAGAGAAAGGGGGAAGGCATTCCTTTAGCGTCAAAGAGAAAGAAAGAAGGGGGGGCGCGGCTTTCCCTGGCCCCTCCCTCCGCTTGGGGGATGATGGGATATGTAGTCCTGCCCTTTGCAAAGCCTCGACTGAGAAAAAAAAGGATTTTTTTTTCTGCAGCGGACGGCAGAAGTGATCGGTTGGAGGTGGGGAGAAAGAAAGAAGATTGCAGGCTGCATTGCAACAGGTAAAGCTCTCCATAGCCCGGCTAGATGCCCGCTCCAAAGATGGTTCCCTCCCATCCCTCGCGAGAACTCGCTCCATGCCGCGGGTTCGAGGCCGGGGGGAATCCCCACCTCGTGTGTGCCTTTCTGCACCCGGGGAATTCATCTCGCTTTTCCCTGGCTGCGGCGGACGGAACGACGGGATCGAAGCCCGGAGCGGAGTCGGTAAACCCGGGGAAGGGTCTTCGTATTGTGGGGAGGGGTAAACCTCGGTTTTTTGGGGGCTCCGGTTGCTGACTCAACCCGGCGCTTCCGCTCCGCTCCGGCTGGCTGGCTTGGCTGGCGGGAGCCGAGAAAGTGAAAGTGGTGGGGAGAGAATCGAACGTTGGGGCCCTCCGCGTTCGGCTTTGGAACGCCGCGGTTCCCAGCGTTCCACCGATGGAACGTTGGCGTTCTTGTTTTTTTTCCCACGCTCTGTTCGGAGCGGGGGGGAAAAAACGACCCCACCTCCCCAAATGGGAAAGGAGGGGATCCCTGCAAAAAATAATAATCCCAGCCTGGCTTGCCAAATTGCTCCCCCAGCCCCACTTTGACACAATGGGAAGCCCCCCCCCACCCCTCTGCAATCACATCTCTGGGAAGGGGGGGGGTCGGGAGAAGGAAAATTGTGGGGAGGGGGGTTTGGGAAAGACGTTAACGATGCTCTGTCCATCTTTCCTGTCCTCCCCTCTCCTCCCTCCTCCCCGGTTGCTAAATAAAATCCCCCTCCCCAATAATAGTTTTACTACTTGTTGGAGTTGCAGAGACTCTGAAAGACGGGGTGGGGTGGGGTGGGGGGCTCAGAATGCAAGGAGGGGGCGGGTTGAATTCGAGGAAGGGGCTGCTGAAGGATTGCAACGGCTTTCTTTGAGGAAGGGTCTCCCCTCTTTTGAGGAAGGGTCTCTCCCCCCCACTCCCACCCACCCCCATTTAGAGACGGTATTTTAAAAGCCCATCCTGGATTTTTGGGAGTGGGGGGGGGTCGAGAAACAGATCTTGCAATGGACGTCTGATTTTTAAACCGAAGTAGAACCGATGCGAGGCCGAGTTCTGGCTTAAATCTTCGCGGGGAAAATCGGATTCGTTTTTCTTTCTCTCTCTCTCTCCCCCCCCCAATCTCCGGGATCATCCTCCGAATGGTACAGTCCGCTCCGTTGTCGGCTGCGATGGGAAGGAACCAAAAGAAAGGGCCGGAGGGGGGGATTTGGGATTGCTTGTAGAAAAAGAGGTTATGTGGGTTTTTTGCACGTCCAAATCCAGACACATCGTGTTTTAAAGATGAGGAAAAAAATAGTTCTGAACGAATAAGGCCCGGGGAGGGCTTTAATCATGTCCCCTCCCCTCTTTACGCTGCGGTATAGCCTCGCTGGCGTCCTCCTGTTTTTTTGCTTAAAAGGATGAGAAACGAAAGCAGGTTAATCTTTCTTTTTTTTGTTTGATCCTTGCAAAATTTGCTAATCGAGCCCGGCGCCAGGTTGATGGTTGTTTCCGGGAGGCTGGGGGTGGGGGGGAACTAATTTAAATTAAATTAATTTAAATTAATTTACTACTTTAAAAGAAAAATAACAGCGTGGATTGCCTGTTTTGAAAACTTAGCTGGGGAGGTGTGTGTGCATATTTCTGCAAGGCTAGAAAAATCGGATTTGGTTGCTTCTCTGAGCTTGGTTGATTTTCTTGGAGACGTTTTGCGACCAAACTAGGTAACAGCATCAATGCAAAATAGCAATCTGTGCATAAATCAATGGGGGGTGGAAACTCCAAAGAAAATGTCCGATTTGGGGGTATTGGATAGGGGCAGAATTTGGAAGCTGCAGAGTCTGAAGTCTCTTTAAAAGTCTCAAATCAGGTTTTTTTTTTCACAGGCATGGCCCCTTTAAGACAGGTTGGACTTCAACTCCCACAATTCCCCAGCCAGCAGAATTCTGGGAGTTGAAGTCTAACCTGCCTTAAAGGGGCCAAATCTGGAAAAGAAAAAAAAACATCGTTCCAGTTAATTCAGGGTTGTGCAAAACCTGCAAGCAAGGAAATGAAACGCATCGCGCAAAAAATAAAATAACGTTGGCAATAATGCTGTCTATGTACATAAAATATGGAATAAAAAAGTCTCTAGCAAAAAAATAAATTAATTTTTTTAAAAAAGGAAAACAGGTAAATTTCGTACCAGTAGCATGTACCAGGTATCCAGGTAGGAGGTATTGAAAAAGACAATAAAATACCTATTTAGGTATGTCATTTTGCATTTTTTTTTTTTTTTAATTTTGGAACTCCGCCTGCTATGCAAACATTTATTCTGGGCGTTTAATGCCAAAACACTTCAATAATTTTTTTTCCCTGGTTCATTTTGCCCCTAATTTTTAATCTGACCGGTTTCTCTACTTAATTTGCTGCACATCGAATCTGGAGCAGCCATTTCCTGGTGCGTTCAACAAACTTTTAAATGGACATACCCTCATATTCTCCTTTCCTGTCTCAGAAGGAAGCAGGCTGTTGTGTAAAATTATTTTTTTAATTTTTTAAAATTTATTTTTAAATTAAATTAAATTAAATTTATTTATTTTTTAAGGTTTAAAAAAATCCTTTCTCTGCTTTTTTCAACCCATCATTTATCATCTGCAATTCCAGTTGAGCCAAAATAAATAAATAAATATCCGTTTGCTCCATGAAATGTTTGTTAAGTGAGTTTTTTTTTTTGTTCCATTGTTCCGACCTTTCTTTCTAAAGTTGTCATCGCTGCCATTGTTAAGCGAGTCGCGCGGCCGTGAAGTGAGTCTGGCTTCCCCGTTGACTTGGCTTGTCGCAAAAAGGGGGACATTGCGACCGTCGTAAATATGAGCCACGTTTTGATCATGTTGCAACGGTCGTAAGTGTGAAAAACGGTCGTAAGTCACTTTTTTCAGTGCCGCCGGAATGTCGCACGGTCGCTAAACGGAACTGTTGTAAGTCGAGGATTACCTGTATTGCCCCTGCTTTCCAGATCTATCAACAATGATCTCTGACACATTTTTTTTTTATCAATATTCTGGGTTGCATCATACAATCCACCCATCATTTTCCGCAAATATATATACATATATTTGTAAAAAAAGAAGCAGACATACTGCGAACTCCAGAACTTAAAATTTTAAGATTAAAAAGTAAACGTAAAATTTTATTTTACTAAGCTAGAATAGTTTGTAACAAATATATATATAATATATATATATATATATATATATATATATATATATATATATATATATATATATATATATACACACACACACACACACACACACACACACACACACAACACAAATTTGATTCATGGTTACGCATTAAGGACAAAGGAGACAAATGGAAAAACCTCGTTGCGGGGGGAGAATTCACGAGAGAAAGTGTAGTTTATGCATGGATTTAGACCACAATCTAGCTTGCTTGGATTTAATTTAGGGTTCTGTCTGAACAGACCATCATTGCTTATTGCAATTAAAATAGAGCAGTTTTTCCTACATCCCATAAGCTAGCATTGAGTCTTTGGAAATATGTTTTTATTATATAGACAGTCCTCGATTTACAACAGTGAATCGTTTAGTGACTGGAGTTACGACAGCCCTGAGAAAAATGACTTATGACTGTTTTTCACACTTATGACCATTGGTCGTGTGATTAAAATTCAAAAGCTTGGCAACTGACTCACATATATGACAGTTGCCGTGTCCGTGTTTCACACTTATGACCATTGCTGCATGTGATCCCCTTTTGCGACCTTCTGACAAGCCGACTGGGGAAGCCCGATTCGCTTAACAACCGGGTGACTAAATTAAGATTCACTTAATAGCAAGAGGGTGGAGCAAAATTAACAACTTAACAACTGTCTCACTTAACAATGGAAATTTTGGGCTCCATTGTCGTCGTACGTCGAGGACTATCCTGGGATTGGTAATCCTGCCACATTCCCCCCCCCCCACCCCAGGAAGGAAATTACGTTCTTCTTGCCCATTTTGGATGGGGTGAAAGAGATGGACATTTGCCTCTATCTTTTCTCTTTCTTTCTTTCCTGCCTCAGTTTCCCCGTCGGAAAGAGGAATAAACATGGACCAAGTCGCGGAGGAAGACGTCGACCCATCGCTGAGCCCACCCCTCAGCCAAGGGACCTTTGAGGAGATTTGGACATCCCAATTCGTCGATCCGTTTTGGGTGAATGCGAAAATTATCTTCAGCCGTTTGGGTGGACTTCAATTCCCAGAATTCCCCAGCTGAGGAATTCTGGGAGTTGAAGTCCATCCCCAAAGTTTGAAAAACACGGATTTATCATAATCAATTTGTCTGCCTGAATTGATGCCACACGCTACCTTGTCATCTAGTTTACAAGGTGGCTTGTGGAGGAAACCCTGAATGTGTATTATTGACTTAAGCCACGATTTGTGGCTTCTCGGGCATTGAACTGCCCGGAATTGTTGGTTTGTCAAATCAGGAAGCCATAGCTTTAAAATCAAGATGTAAATTTCATTTTGTGGACTCTTCGCGGGTCATTCCATAATTATATAATTATCATATATTTGCATGTTTTTAGGAATCGAAGATGATGGCCCCCACCCAACAAGACATCACCTCCTTCCCCGCGGAAGGGAACAGCTCCATGGATCAAACCAACTTTGGCTTGTTGGCGCCGACGGCCGGTTCTCCGTTAGCCACTGTGGCCGAAGGCTATACAGTGGGAGAAGACCTCACCATCATCCAGGATTTGGCCTTTTCGGGGGACCTGCTCCATCCCCCCAAAGATTACGGGACTGGGGAGAGCTGCGTCTTCCCCCCCACCGAAGACTATCCTGGCCACTTCGACTTCAATCTGGAGTTTGAACAGTCGGGCACCGCCAAGTCGGTCACTTACACCGTACGAAGTGGGACCGGGGGAGATCGCCAGTTGTAGGAGTTAAATTGTGGGGCAGGGGTCTTCCCCCCCAAAAACGGGTCCTCTGTCTCCATCAGGGACATCAGGGAGGGCAGTTAGGTCAAAAAAGTCAAAATGGCCACCGCACTGTGTTGATCCTTTCCCCCTATGGATGCATGAGGTCAACCTAACCTAGATTCCATGTTTCCTGCTGGCAATCTCAGTTTGCCATCAATCCTGGTTTGTTAAAATTGCACAGGGTAGATGGGTGAGATCAACCTAACCTAGATTCCGCATTTTCTGCCAGCAATCTCGGTTTGCTATCGATCCTGGTTTGTTAAAAGAGCACAGGGTGGACGGGTGCTGGCAATCTCTGTTTGCCATCGATCCTGGTTTGTTAAAAAGCACACGGGGGACGAGTGAGGTCAACCTAACCTAGATTCCGGGTTTCCTGCCGGCAATCTCTGTTTGCCATTGATCCTGGTTTGTTAAAAGTGCACAGGGTGGGCTGTTTAGTTTTGTGGCTTCCGCAAAAGATTGTGAGGTTCGGAAGGGCTTCCACTTCTTCCGAAGCGGGGTTCTGAGTGCGAAATATGTGCAATCTTGTCCCCAATGTTGGTCAGGATCGAGGTGGCTGTTACATACAGGTAGTCCTTGACTTACGACCGTTCGCTTAGCGACCGTCTTATCGCAGACCTAAAATTCATATTTGCAACCTGGGCTTCGGGTTCCGATCATGCTCCCCTCCCCGGCGGTCAGGTGACTGCAACTCAGCCCCTTTGCTTTGTCCCACAATCCCACAACCTTCCAATTTCCCCGCAAAATGCCTCATGACGAGCAATGGGTTTGCTTAAGGACCGTGGTGTTTGCTTAACGACGGCCGCTAAAGAGATCGAACGATCGATCAACATGATGAGCTGCTAATCGACCGGCTAACGACCGTCCGGCTCAAAGACCGTCGTAAGTCAAGGACAACCTGTAGTTTTGAGGTGAGGTGCGTGGGCGCCCTCAGGTTTCTGAACTACAACTCCCAGCCTGCTTTGCTGGTGGCCATGGCGGGAGAATCTCTTGTAGCTTCTCCAACCTGGCGCCCTCCAGGGGTGCCTTATGGGTATCCTGCGAATCAGACACCCAGTTATTTCCAAAATATACCCAGAAGGAGGGAAGTGGCTGATGGGTTTTCCAGAAATTAAAGCGGTCTCAGCTTTACAGGTGGTCCTCGACTTACAACGGCTCATTTAGTGACCCAAGTTACAACGGCACTGAAAAAAAACCTGACTTAGGACCGTTTTTCACACTTAACGACCGTTGATCAACGTGATCAAAATTGGGGCGCTTGGCAACCCGCTCGTACTTATGACGGTCGCAGTGTCCCTCACTGAGCCACAGCGGTGATTCACTTAACGGCCGGCGAGAAAAGTCGTAAAACGAGGCGAAACCCAACCGTTGTCTCGTTTAACGGCAGAAATCTGATTTTTGCTTTGAGGTAGTCCACACCTTCCTACTCCTGGGGCCACCCCTAGGAGACTCCCCCCCCCTCTTTCCATGAATACAGATAGTCCTCAACTTACAACAGTCCATTTAGTGACCGTTTGAAGTGACAACAGCACTAAAAAATGATTTATGACTGTTTTTGGCACTTACGATGGTCGCAGCCCCACAATCACGCAATCCAAATTCAGACGATTGACAACTGACTCGTATTTATGACGGTGGCAGGGTCCCCCGGGGGGTGGGGGGCTGTCAGGGGATCTCCCTTTGGCGACCTCCTGACGGGGAAAGCCGGATTCACTTAACAACCGGGTGACTGCCTTAACCGCTGACATGATTCGCTTAACGACGGCGGCCAGAAAAGTCGTATAACATGGGGCAAAACTCAACCAACATCTCACTTTAACAACGTAAATTTTGGATTCGATTGTGGGCGTAAGCCGAGGACTCCCTGCATACCGTTCATTGGATTTTAGCCTCATAGGGACCCCCAGAAATGTCGGTGAGACATCCCCCACTTCCCCGTCCTTGAGTGAATTACTGGTGCATCTTTTGGAGATCCCCACACTGGCAAGAACCTGGGAGAAGACCTTCCTTTTCCCCCTCCCCAATTTATTTGCACCCGATAAGATGGTAGGGGGTGCACCCCGAACCCCAATTTTTAACTCACCGCTTAGCTGGCGCCCCGATTTTTCTAGCTGTGACTTCAACACTTCGATTCGCTTCTTCGGCCATCGGTCGCTTTCCTGATTCTTGGATGGGAATGACTGCCCCCCCTTTTCCCCCCGTTTTCGGCCTTCCCACCCAATGGCTGGGCTTTGAAGAAGGGTGGGGGGCTCCCGATGGAGACCACCCCCCCTTCCTTCCGTCTTGCGCAGAACGCTGCCTGCCCGCGACATGCCTGGACATGTTCCTCGGATGAGTTTTGGCAAAGGACGATCCCAGATTCCTTGGGGAGGGTGGGGTTGGGGGGTAAAGACCCCACCCCATTTTCCAGCATGTGGCGAGAGACCCCCTCCCAACACCCCAAATTCTCTTTTCTCTTGCAATGAAGGCAGAAGGGGACAAAATGCCCAGCGTCGAGTTGGAAAATGTGGGTAAGGGGCTTGCTTGAAATGGGGGGGGGGGTGCGATGTAAATCTTACCCCCCCCTCCTCGGTCCCACCAACAAACGGTCGCAATGCAAGGCAGACCGTTAAGGAGGGGGGACGAGTGTGGTATTATGGGGGAGGCATTTTGAAAAAACTCACAATGACAACCTCTTTGCGAGATGGAAGGCGTCTCTAAATTCTATAAATGCAGTTTATAAAGTTCTCGATTTACGGCCAACCTTGAGCCCCAAATCTCTGTTGCTAAGTGAGACTGTTAAGCGAATTTTGTCCCGTTTTACCTTTCTGGCCGTCGTCGTTAAGTGAATCGCCACAGTTTTGAAGTTAGTAAGACGGTCGTTAAGCGAATCCGGCCTTGTCCGAAGGTCATAAAAGGGGGTCGCGTGACCTCAGGACACAGCAACGGTCGTAAGTGTGAGTCAGTTGCCAAGCGTCTGAACTTTGATCACGTGACGGTCGTAAGTGTGAAACTGAACGGTCACTAACCAAATTGTTGTAAGTCAGGGACTACCTGTATAAATGTAATAAATGCAAATAGCCCTCGATATAACGGTCACAATTGAGTCCAGGATTTCTGTTGTTAAATGAGACCTTGGTTCAGTGAGTTTTGCCCCATCTTGCAACCTTTCTTGCCACCGTCGTTAAGTAAATCACTGCCATTTTTAAGTCAGTAACCCGGTCGTTAAGTGAATCTGGCTTTTCCCCCCTTGACTTTGCTTGTCCGAAAGTCGGCAAAGGGGATCACGTGATCCGGGGGACGCTGCGAGCGTCATAAATACGAGTCGGTCGCCAAGCGTTTGAATTTTGACCCCCGTGACCATGGGACACAGCAACGGTCGTAAGTGTGAGTCAGTTGCCACGTGTCTCAACTTTGATTATGTGAGTAACTCTTAACGCGAAGTTTTCAGCGCCGTCGCAGCTTCGGACGGTCACCAAGTGGAATGGTTGTAAATCAGGGACTGCCTGTTTTGATTCGTTCCGGGAAAATTTTTCAAAACTTTTTAACTGCACGGGGCTGGACTAGAAGACCTCCAAGGTCCCTTCCGGCTCCTTCTTTTCTCCGTTCCGAATTGGCTCTTTTCTCTCCTCCTCTGATCCTGATTTTTTTTTTTTTCTCGCCCGCAGTTCTCGCCGCTGCTGAACAAGCTTTTTTGCCAAATGGGCAAAACTTGCAAAGTGCTGGTGAAGATGTCCGGGGCTCCCCCTCTCGGCTCGGTGGTCCGGGCCATGGCCGTATACAAGAGATCCGAACACATGGCCGAAGTGGTCAGGCGCTGCCCCCACCACGAACGAAACCAAGACCACAACGATGGTCAGCAGGGGGCTTCGGGGGGAGGGGGAAAGGGGAGGGGTCTTCTGGAACATGGGGAGGGGTGTCATGGGAAAGCTGGGATGTAGGGGCCTTGAAATCTGGGGAGGGGTCTTCCAGGATATGGGTGGGGTGGGGGTTGTGGGGAGGCTGTGATGCAGCGGGTCCTAAATATGGGGAGGGGTCTTCCGGCACACAGGGAAGTCATGGTCAGTCTGGAATGCAGAGGGCTTGAAATAGGGGGAGGGGTCTTCTAGGACACGGGAGGGTCATCGGCAGGCTGTTTTGCAGGGAGCTTGAAATATGGGGAGGGGTCTTCTAGGACACGGGAGGGTCATTGGGAGGCTGTTTTGCAGGGGGCTTGAAATATGGGGAGGGGTCTTTTGGGACACGGGAGGGGGACATGGGCAGGCTGTGATACAAAGGGCTTGAAATCTGGGGAGGGGTCTTCAGGGACACGGGAGGGGTCATGGGGAGGCTGTATTGCAGGGGGCTTGAAATATGGGGAGGGGTCTTCAGGGACACGGGGAGGGGTCATGGGGAGGCTGTATTGCAGGGGGCTTGAAATCTGGGGAGGGGTCTTATGGGACACGGGGGAGGGGGACATGGGCAAGCTGTGATAAAAGGGGCTTGAAATCTGGGGAGGGGTCTTCTAGGACTCCGGGAGGGGGTCGTGAGCAGGCTGTGTTGCAGGGGGCTTGAAATCTGGGGAGGGGTCTTCAGGGACACAGTGGGGGGGTCATGGGCAGGCTGTATTGCAGAGGGTTTGAAACCTGGGGACGCTTCAGCGGTCGTAAGGGTGAAACACGATCCTAAGTCACTTTTTTCCAGTGCCGTCGTAACTTCGAACGGTCACTAAGCAAACCGTCGTAAGTCGAGGGTCAATTATAATTGGGGAAGGGGGGGGAACTCCATCCTCCAAAGTGAAACTTCTGCAGTTGCAATGGCCATAAACTCAAAACTCCTCTTATTTTTCTTTTTTTTTCTACCCCGCTCCCCGATTTCTGATTGGGCACAGGGGTGACCCCCGCCGATCATCTCATCCGGGTCGAAGGAAACCCCCAGACTCATTACTACAGAGACCCAGCCACCAACCGGCACAGCGTCTTGGTTCCTTACCAGAAACCTCAGGTGAATTTTTTTGTGGCGGGGTGGGGAAGGGTGAAGAGCAGAAGTGGGATTCAGCCGGTTCGTACCAGTTCAGGCGAATCTGTAGTGGCGACTTGTGGGTACAAAGGGCTTGTACAAAGGTACAAGCCAGCGGTGAAATCCGCTTATCTTCACTACCGGTTCGGGAACGGGAGCGTGTGCCTCTTCTGCGCATGCGCAGAGGGTTAAAAAAAAGGACGTAATGACGTCCCGGCAGGTGGGTAGATCCTCCCGGCGCTACCAGTTCGGCGGGCCGAATAGAACCAAGCAGATTTCACCACCCTTTGTATCACAGCCTGCCCATATCCCTCTTCCCCATGTCTCTGAACCCTAACCCTAACTCCGTGATGGCGAACCTATGGCACATGTGGCACGCGGAGCCATATTGATGGGCACACGAGCTCAGCTCTGGCGCGCATGTACGCGCCCGCCAGCTGATTTTCGGGCCTTCCGGTCCCACCGGAAGTCAGCAAACGATCCATTTCTGACCTCCGGAGGGCCTTCAAGGGGGTGGAGAAGGCTGTTTTTGCCCTCCCCAGGCTCCAGAGGCTTTCTAGGAGGTGGGGAAGGCTGTTTTTGCCCTCCCCAGGCTCCTAGAAAGCCTCCGGAGCCTGGGGAGGGCGAAAAACGGGCCTACTGGGCCCACTGTGCCATCGCGTGCCAAAAGCAGGGGTCGCATGCGAATACGCGGGGGGGCAGGGCGCATACAATTATGGGTGTGGGCACACGCGTGTGACAAAACGCCCCCCCACACACTTTTGGCATGCGATGGCAAAAAAATTAGCCATCACTGCCCGAACCCCCTGAATTAGTGCAATATAAAAAATGCGCAATCCCATCCTATATCGCTGTATTTTTGACGCCGTACCCATTTCTTCGTCTGCTGCCCTCTTCGGGGTACCCGGCCGAAGGTCTGTATTCTAGAAATACCGGCAGGGGTTTCCCTCCCCCCCGCCCCCTAGATTCTGACATTAGGTCTTTTCAGGTAGACTGCTCCTGAATAGGGAAGCTCTATTGCTCGTCGCCAGGGCAGAGGGGTATAGAAGGAGCTGCGCCGGCCTGGAAATGGGTTTTAAAAGGGAAGAACGTGCTACTTAACTGGGGGGGGGGGTCCGAAGACCCCTTCCCCCAACCTTGCACCATCCATCTCTTGGTTCTCGGGGATATATATATATATTTTTGCATTGTTTTTAAAATGTTTTAATTTGCATATTTAATTTTTTTCCACTCTTTTTCTCCTTTTTTTTTTTTTGGCATCGTTTTAAAAAATGTTCTCATTTGCATATTTAAATTTTTTCCACTCTTTTTCTCCTTTTTTGGGGGGAGACATCATTTAAAAAATGTTCTCATTTGCATATTTAAATTTTTTTCACTCTTTTTCTCCTTTTTTTCTTTTGGCATCGTTTTAAAAAATGTTTTCATTCGCATATTTACATTTTTTTCTCTCTCTCTCTGTTTTTCTCCTTTGAACAATCTCTTAAGTTGCCGAGAGTTGCCTTATCGGGGGTTGATGGAATGAATAACTTATTAATTAATTAATTAATTAATTAATGAAGCCAGTTGCAGCATCTGAGGGTACTCAAATGTTATAATTGTGGGGTGCGGGATTGCCAACTTTGGAGGGGACCGGGGTTTCCACTCAGTTTGATGCTTCCTTTTCATCTGTGGGGAGCCCTGTCCTAACTTTCTAGGATGCCAAACGTGAGATTGTTAGGAATAAATTGAAATTGGTCTTAAAATGGTTGGGATGGCTGGTTCTTGTGGCAGGCAGTTCCATTGGATCCTGCCCTGTTTTGCCCTCTGTGAAATTCTCCATCCTCTCCCTTGTCCCTTTTAATGAGTTTCTTCCCAGCTTCCCCCTCAAGGATTATGTCTATCCTTGAAACCTCGGATAGACATAATCGCTCAATTTATGACTGTAATGGAGCCTTACGGTCGTAAGTGATGACAGTTGTAAATTTTGGGGGTTTTAAATCTGAGCCAAAATTATTTAATAATTTTAATTATTTTTAATTGATGTCTATCTTTGTGCTTTTAATAGGCTGTACACCGCCCTGAGTCCTTTGGGAGAAGGGCGGTATAAAAATAAAATTATTTATTTATTTATTTATTTAAAGACCGACCTGATTTTATGACCTTTTTGGCAGCGGTCATTAAGCGAACGCTGTGGTTGTTAAACGAGTCGTGCGCCCGTTGTACCAAGAAGTAAATCATCTTCTTTTAACGACCCCATAATCCTTTGCGGGGTGGAGTCTGGGCTACTGGATGGAGTTAGCAGAGTGTTTTTTAATGGCCGGATGCCTTTCATGTCACCAGTGCGGAGTTTTGTTCAGCAGATAAATTCTCATTGTGCCCAGAGAGAGAGAAATATCTGCCTCTACCTAGGATCGAACTCACAGCCTCCTGATTGTGAGGCAAGAGCGCCACCTCTAGGCACTGTTGCTAATACCCAAAGTGTGGTCACATGACCGGGGGGGGGAGGCAGCTATTGAAACTTGGGAACTGGGTACCCTGTGGAGATCCGTCGTAACTTCGAATGGTTGCTAAGTGAGGACTGGTTGCATTTGTGCAAATTTCTCTCCATCCTTCAGGTGGGGATGGCGTGTACCATCATCCTGTACAATTACATGTGCAACAGTTCGTGTATGGGTGGCATGAATCGGCGCCCGATCCAGACCATCCTGACTTTGGAGACGGCACAGTGAGTACCGCTCTTCCTCCTTTTTTTTTTTTTGTGACGGTCGGGAAGAGAACGCTGCGGTCGTTAAGCAGACTCCCTAGAGGGGGGCCTTTTTATTTTTATTTTTCGCTGGAAGCAGGAAGTAAATATCCATTTCCAGAAAACAACGTGGCATCGCCAACGGCCGTAAAAGCAAGTTGTCGTAAGAATCCAGGTCGTAAGTCCATTTTTTGGGCTCCTTCGTAACTTTGGACAGTCGTTAAAAGCGACCGCTCCTAAGTTGAGGACTCGCTGTACATGAGAAGCTCAGTCGTCGTTGAAGGCATTGGGGATTCTAGTAAGGAAATATCTCGGAAAGGATCATGGGTTGCGTGGTATGTACTAGAATTTGAACCCAGTGCTTTGTCCGTCCTTCCAAAATGTCTAAGGACACCTCTTTTTTCGCCATAGGGGGGAGGTTCTGGGACGCCGATGTTTTGAGGTTCGGGTCTGCGCCTGCCCCGGACGAGACCGACGATCAGAGGAGTTCACCTTCCAGCAGAAAGCAAAATCCTCGGAAACTACAAAAAAGGGTAAATTGGAAGGATGTAGGAATGGCCGAATGTGTGGGCGGAGTCAAAAGAGGAATAAGCCTAGAATCCTTACATAGCCACAAGTGAATGAAGTCCGACCTCCCTTCAATTTTGTGGACTCTTATTGAACTCTTAGCAGGTGCCAGCTCTTCATTGAGAAGATTCCCGCGCAGAGGCTTTCAGCAATACAACAATTTAGTTAGAAGATTCCTGCACAGAGGCTTTCAGCAATAAAGCAGTTTAGTTAGAAGATTCCCGCGCAGAGGCTTTCAGCAATAAAGCAGTTTAGTTAGAAGATTCCCGCGCAGAGGCTTTCAGCAATAAAGCAGTTTAGTTAGAAGATTCCCGCGCAGAGGCTTTCAGCAATACAACAATTTAGTTAGAAGATTCCTGCGCAGAGGCTTTCAGCAATAAAGCAGTTTAGTTAGAAGATTCCCGCGCAGAGGCTTTCAGCAATAAAGCAGTTTAGTTAGAAGATTCCCGCGCAGAGGCTTTCAGCAATACAGCAATTTAGTTAGAAGATTCCTGCGCAGAGGCTTTCAGCAATAAAGCAGTTTAGTTAGAAGATTCTCGCGCAGAGGCTTTCAGCAATACAGCAATTTAGTTAGAAGATTCCTGCACAGAGGCTTTCAGCAATAAAGCAGTTTAGTTAGAAGATTCCCGCGCAGAGGCTTTCAGCAATAAAGCAGTTTAGTTAGAAGATTCCTGCACAGAGGCTTTCAGCAATAAAGCAGTTTAGTTAGAAGATTCCCGCGCAGAGGCTTTCAGCAATAAAGCAGTTTAGTTAGAAGATTCCTGCGCAGAGGCTTTCAGCAATAAAGCAGTTTAGTTAGAAGATTCCCGCACAGAGGCTTTCAGCAATAAAGCAGTTTAGTTAGAAGATTCCCGCGCAGAGGCTTTCAGCAATAAAGCAGTTTAGTTAGAAGATTCCCGCGCAGAGGCTTTCAGCAATAAAGCAGTTTAGTTAGAAGATTCCCGCGCAGAGGCTTTCAGCAATAAAGCAATTTAGTTAGAAGATTCCTGCGCAGAGGTTTTCAGCAATAAAGCAGTTTAGTTAGAAGATTCCTGTGCAGGTTTTCAGCAATAAAGCAGTTTAGTTAGAAGATTCCTGTGCAGGTTTTCAGCAATAAAGCAATTTAGTTAGAAGATTCTCGCGCAGAGGTTTTCAGCAATAAAGCAGTTTAGTTAGAAGATTCCTATGCAGATTTTCAGCAGTAAAGTAGTGTAGTGGGCTCATGGGGAAGAATCTCTTCCTACAAACCTCTGTTAATCTGTGGAACATCCCGCCACAGGATGTTGCAAAGCTGTTCAGTTTTTATTGATTAAATTTATAGGTCACCTCTCCTCGTTATCCATAAATTGTTTGATCGTGAAAACAAGAGGTGGGGGAGATGGAAGAGGAAGTTGTAAGGAGCAGACACGGCACTAAATTCAGAGGCTTCGGGAACTTCCTTGTGGTCTCCTTTTCTTGCCCGGAAGACAGCGGGATTTCAGCGATGGGGTTGTTGGGTTTTTTTTGTCCCCTCATCCTTGCCTCTCGCTTCTCCAGCACCTTCGCAAGGCCAGCGTCCTGGCGCCCCCAGCAGGAGACCGGCGCAAATCCCGCCCGAGGACGACGAAGCCGAATGTGAATCGGGATGCGGATCCGAGCCCGAAGTTTATAAGCTCGTTGTGAGTTGTGCTTTGGGCGGTTTGGGGAGAGGGATGAGGGGTGACCACTGGTCCTTCGGGAGGCAGACATTCCAGTTTTGGGGGACAGGGGGGCTAAAGGACTGAGGGGTGGGGGTCACTGGCGCATCTCGAACCCCGAGCCAGCATCTTGAGAGGCGTCCATTTTGTTTCCAGACTCGCAACCGCAGACATTATAACATCCTAAAGGAAATTTTAGAAGGGTTGGAATGCAAAGAAGCTCAGCAGAGGGAGAACACGGAGGGCTGCAAGTCCGGGAAAAGGTAAGTGACGGACCCCCACCCCCACCCCAAATTCACCTCTGTCGCCTCCTGGGTGAATCCCGTCTTTGCGGCTTGGCTCGCTGACTCGAGCTCTCTCTCTCTCTCTCTCTCTTTTTTTTTCCTCTTTCCCCAGCATCCTGAAGAGCCGGAAACGAGGAGCCAAGTTGCCTTCCCCCCATCAGAAGAAAGTTCGGGTGAAGGACGAGACCCTGGACTCCAATTAGCGGGGTGTCCCGTACCCCACCCCACCCCAATTTTTTTCGCCTTGTTTATTATGCTTTCTTCTTCCTTCTCCCGCCATCTTTCCTTCTCTGTTTTGACTTCCAAGGTTGCTCCGTTTCCCAAACCTGGGTTTTTGGGGTCCCCATCACCCACCCCCCAAAAAATGGCTGCCACCTGTTCCCCAATCTTAGCTGGGGATCCCCACCTGGCTCCAAGCCTTCCTCTCCTTTCTCCAGCCTTTTTTTTGGGGGGGGGCACCTGCCCTTTCTCCAGCATGGGCATGGAAGAGGGGGGGATCCTTCTCTTCCATGGGGGGATCCTCATATTGCAGCCCCCCACCCCTTTAAAAGGGATGGCCAGTTTGCCTCATTTCTCCATTCCCCTCCAAATTGTTTTTTTTAAAAATCCCTCCCCTTGCAACATGGGAATCAAAACGGCCCCCTCCTACGGATTTCCTATCCCCCCAAATGGGGTGGGGGTGTCATTTCCTAAAAGTGCAATTTTGGGGAGAGGGGTGGTCACGGCTGGTTCCTCACCCCTCTCCCTAAACTGTTCGTCCCTCTTCCTTTCCCCACCAGCAAAGGGTTTGGCTAAATTTGTTTTTTTTTTTTTTTGCAAGCTTGGCCAGGATTCGAATGTAGGACTTTTTCAACTCCCAGAATTCCACAGAAGGGGAATTCTGGGAGTTGGAAGTCCACAATTTGCCGGCAGGGGGAATTCTGGGAGTTGTAGTCCTGGGCCTTGCCAAGCTTTTGCAAAAAAAAACACCAGCGAACCTGCTGGTCCCGTAATTTTTAACAAATCTATTACATTGTGCATTAATACAGTATTAATTTCTTTGTAGATTAGGATTCCTATTTCCATGTTTTTGTTTTTTAAAAAATGACTTTTTTTATTTGCATCTCTTCCTTAGCACATTCCTTTTTTTATATATATACTGGATTCTTCCCCTTGTTTGCTCACCCAGCTTTTTGTAAGGAATAAAATAGTTTTTTTTTTTCCTTAAAAGCTGGACAGAAATGGTCCTTGGATCGAGGCGAAGCTTTTAATTCTAAACCGGGGTGTGGGGCGAAAAAAATGGAATTGTCCAGGAATGTCTGGTTGGGCCGGATACATCGTCTCTGTTTTACAAAAATTCCCTAAATCCTGTCTGTTCAATCTCAACCCCTCCTTCTAGGATCTTTGGGGATGGGGAAAAAGTGGGGATTTTGGTAGTTTTCTTCTATAGACGTTTCATGACCCAACTAGGGAACGTTATCAGTGTGAGAAGGGAGAGGGAATTTGCTCTGTTTATATATGAAACACCGTTTGCAAGAAAACAACCCAGATCCAAGAAAATCCTCATAGTCCTTCATCTACTTCCTCCTCCCTCTCCTGTTCTTCCTTCTCCTCTTCCTCCTCCTCCCCCTCCTCTTCTCTTCCCTCTCCTGTTCTTCCTCCTCCTCCTTCTCTTCTCCTCCTCTTCCCCTTCCTGTTCCACATCTGAAAGCACACTGGTTGGGGAATTCTGGGAGTGGAAGTCTTAAAGCAGGCTGGCTGGAGAATTCTGGGAGTTGACGTCCACCCCTCTTAAAGTATGCTGGTTGGGGAATTTTGGGAGTTGGAGTCCACCTATATTAAATCACATTGGGGAATCCTGGGAGTTGAAGTCTTAAAGCAGGCTGGCTGGGGAATTCTGGGAGTTGGAGTCCACCTACATTAAATCACAGTGACTGGAGAATTCTGGGAGTTGAAGTCCACCCCTCTTAAAGCATCCTACCTGTGGGATTCTGGGAGTCGAAGTCCACCCCTCTTAAAGTATGCTGGTTGGGGAATTCTGGGAGTTGGAGTCCACCTATATTAAATCACATTGGGGAATCCTGGGAGTTGAAGTCTTAAAGCAGGCTGGCTGGGGGATTCTGGGAGTTGAAGTCCACCCCTCTTAAAGCATCCTAGCTGGGGGATTCTGGGAGTTGAAGTCCATGTCTCTTAATAGAAGCCCTGCGAAGTGAACTAACACCCCCTCCCTTCCCAGTCCATGAAGCGGAGTTTCCAGGCCACCATCGGCCAGGTGCAAACAAGCTCCCCAAAAAGCCAGATTTTTGGCTGAGGTCCTGCCACGGGGGACACCTTCCACCCCCCCCTCCCCACAACGCTCAGCCTTCCTCCTTGCCGTGGGGCTTTACCTGTTTTATTCCCACCCGGTACCAGAAGAGGGCAGCCCTGTTTGGGAGAAAGATGCCATTGGGCTCCTCCCATTGAAAAGCCAAATGAGAGGGCGTCAGAAAAGGGGGTGCCGGATGCCAAACTCCTCACGCTCTCCCTCCCCCTTGACCTCCCTTGCCAACAAAATGGGGAGGGGGACCATTGATTTAATTTGATTTCCATACCGCCCTACTCCCGAAGGACTCAGGAAGGACCATGACCGCCACTCCCACCCCCCCATCCCCAAAGGGGAGTGCTGAGCCCCGTCTTGCAGTTTGAAGTTGTTGATGGAAAAGTTAATGTACCCGGCGAAGGGGCCCCCGAATCAGCCTTGAGAGGGGGGGAGCCCACACGATTTTCAAGGACTGCTGGATGGCAAAAGTGGCATTTCAGGAGGCCTGGGGTCCGTCCCTCAAACCTTCGGCCCAGGCCACAGTTTTGGGAGGATCAAGGGCTGATTTGAGCCTGGAGAGCAGAGAACTTACTTAGAAGAACAGGATTGGAAGGGGAACCTAGAGGTCTTTTAGTCCATCCCTCCGTTCAAGCAGGCTGGCTGGGGGATTCTGGGAGTTGAAGTCCACCTATATTAAATCACAGTGACTGGGGAATTCTGGGAGTTGAAGTCCACCCCTCTTAAAGCAGGCTGGCTGGGGAATTCTGGGAGTTGAAGTCCACCTATATTAAATCACAGTGACTGGGGAATTCTGGGAGTTGAAGTCCACCCCTCTTAAAGCAGGCTGGCTGGGGAATTCTGGGAGTTGAAGTCCACCTATATTAAATCACAGTGACTGGGGAATTCTGGGAGTTGAAGTCCACCCGTCTTAAAGTGTGCCGGCTGGAGAATTCTGGGAGTTGAAGTCTTAAAGCAGGCTGGCTGGGGGATTCTGGGAGTTGAAGCCCACCAATATTAAATCATAGTGACTGGAGAATTCTGGGAGTCGAAGTCCATCCCTCTTAAAGTATGCTGGCTGGGGAATTCTGAGAGTTGAAGTCCACCTATATTAAATCACAGAGACTAGGGAATTCTGGGAGTTGAAGTCTTAAAGCAGGCTGGCTGGGGAATTCTGGGAGTTGGAGTCTTAAAGCAGGCTGGCTGAGGAATTCTGGGAGTTAGTCCACCTATATTAAATCACAGTGACTGGAGAATTCTGGGAGTCGAAGTACATCCCTCTTAAAGTATGCTGGCTGGGGAATTCTGGGAGTTGAAGTCCACCTATATTAAATCACAGTGACTGGGGAATTCTGGGAGTTGAAGTCCACCCGTCTTAAAGTGTGCTGGCTGGAGAATTCTGGGAGTTGAAGTCTTAAAGCAGGCTGGCTGGGGGATTCTGGGAGTTGAAGCCCACCTATATTAAATCATAGTGACTGTGGAATTCTGGGAGTTGAAGCCCACCCATCTTAAAGCAGGCTGGCTGGGGAATTCTGGGAATTGAAGTTCCCCCGTTTTAAAGTAGCCGTCTTAAAGTGAGGCACATTGTTCTAGAAGTCTCGTTTGCGCTATCCAGAGCCAAAGACAAGCAAAGTTGAGAAATGCTATTCGGTCCTTGCATTTCCCCCATTGCACATGCCGTAAAGTGACACAATTGTTGATCCTTTTCCTGATTGTGCAAGAAGAGTCAGCCTGAGTGTGCAAAGATTTACCGCCTTCCAAAGCCTGCGGCAAAGTGCCAATTCCTGGTACAGCGATTCCCTCTCCGGTGACACAACCGGCTTCATTTTTAACATCCTTCTTGTCGCCCCGTGCAGAAAACACCTGGTGTGCTTCAGCAGTGCAATCTGCAGTAGAGTCAGTCCCCGACTTACGACCGTTCAAAGTTACGACGGTGGTGGGAAAAAAAATGACTTAAAATGGGTTCTTGAATTTAGGACGATCTCAGTATCCTCGATTGTGATCAAAATTCAGACGCTTGGCCTCTGACTCGTATTTATGACGGCTGCAATGTCCCAGGATCAGTTGATTCCCCCCCCCTTTTGACACCTACTGACCGGCAAAATCAACAGGGCAAGAGAGATTCACTTAACAACCATTTGCGGTGATTTAATAACTGCAGTCCTTTTCTTTTAGCGACCCCGTAATAATCCCTTGCGGAGTGGAGTCTTGGTCAACTGAATGGAGCTGAGTGTTTTACTGGCCGGATGCTCTTCCCTGTCGCCAGTGAGGAGTTTTGTTCAGCAGATATATTCTCATCGTGCCCAGAGAGAGAAATAGCTGCCTCTACCTTCTTCCTCAATTCCCTAATCGAGTCCTGGTGGTCTCCCATCCTTCGCCACGCCAATTTAAAAATTAAAGGAGATTAGCCTGCACGGAAAGGCAGCTTTCCCAGCGACCCATCTGCAGTTTTCTTCAGCCCCTCCCTCCCCATTGTAGGGTTCTAGTTGCACCCCAAACTTACAGGGGAGCCCCCAGGGGCTTTCCACGCAAGGGAGCCTTGTTTTCACCTGCTCGTTTCGGCGTCTCCTTCTGGGACGAAGCCACCACACCTGAAGGAAGGCAGGAAAAATTTGGGAAAGCCCCAAAGCTTGCAGAAACGCGTTGCGTGTAGCCACGGAGGAAAAGCAGCGTGGGAAATTTTACATCGGAACGTATTTTATTCGTTACACCGTCTCTCTCTCTTATCTTCCCTTAAACGCGAACAGAATCCAGAACGGACTGCGAATCAGCGTCTCCGCTCGATAACTGACAGTCGAGCCGGAATTAATCAAGTTAATTAATCGACGAAGTTAATCAAGTCAAAACAGCAAACGGGAGGGGAAAAAAAAAAAACACCTTTGACTCCAACTTCCTCCAACCCCACCCCCCATCCTCAATAGGTTAGCCGTACCTAATCCGCATATCAAAGGAGAAGGTCTGTCAACACAAAAGGAGTTAATGAAAATGAAAATTAATTAATTAATTCATTAATTAAACACCGTAGATGACATGTACGGAGAGTCCTCTGTTTCCGACCGCAATCCAGCCCCAAATTTCTGTCGCTGAGTGAGACAATGACGTTTTTGCCCTGTTTTACGACCTTTCTTGACCCCATGGTTAAGCTAGTCACATGGTCGTTAAGCGAATCGGGCTTCCCTCTGTGACTTTGCTTGCCGTAAAACACCTCCAAATCCAGGATAAGGCCCCTCTATAAAAATGATTTCTCTATACCCCAATTTCTTTGCAGCTGCCCGCCCCCCCAATTCAGGAAGGGGGGCTGAATTGGGGCGGGGGGCTTCCAGGCTGGCTCTCGGGCAGGCAGCCAAGCTCTGCAGAGCCGGGGCCACCCAAGGCCACGCAGAAGAGCCTCCCTCCTCCTGCAGGCTGGCGTCCGGCCACACCGCGGCTGAGCCGAGATTGGCCAAGACCCAGCTGGCTGGCACCTTGCAGGAAGAAGGAGAAGAAGCTGGCAGCAACGAGGCGTGGGGAGGCTGGCAGCATTGGATCCCGTTGGCCGTCGCCCACGCCTGGTGCCATCCGGGCAGGGAAAACTTGTAGCTTTGCAGCGCCTGCTTGGTTCATGCTCCAGCCGGGCACCCCTTTTTTCTTCCCTGAGCACCCCTCTTTCGAATGCGTGCCAGCCTTCTCTGCAAAGGCTTAGCCCTCTCTGCCCACCTCCACCCCCCCACTACTTCTTCAGTGGGATAATTTCTCCCCTCCCCGCCCTTCTCCTGCTAGAACAGGGGGCTGGACTAGAAGACCTCCGAGGCCCCTTTCGGCTTATTCTATTCTATTCTATTCTATTCTATTCTATTCTATTCTACTCTACTCTATTCTATTCTATTCTATTCTGATTCTCTATATTTTATTATTCATTCTATTCTATTCTAGTTCTGAATTCTGTTCTATTCTA